TTAAACTTTGAAGATTTTCTTTTTAAACATTATTTACCTTTTTGACTTGTCTCAGTAGGTATTGAATCAGTTATAGTAAGTGGTTGAAAACCATTTGGTGAATTAATTCGTATAACACTATCTGCAGGAAAACATTCTGAACAAGAATTCGTTCTTGATACATCAGTTGATGAAATTTCTGATGTTGTTGTATTTGTTGTTGTTGAATCTTGTTGTTGTGTTTTATTTGAATGACGTTGTTTATGAGTTCCTGATAATTCAGAAACATATTTTAATGAAACTGATGAAAATGATGCAAATAATATATCTGAATCATTATTAGGTAATGTTATTTGTGTTTGTTTATTTGTTGTTGTTGTTGTTGATGATGATGTTAAAATATCATCATCGGAATGTTGATAACGATCTTGTCTTGTATCAAAATATGATGTATCATCAGGTGATTCTAATACTGGTACAAAATCTGCTTTTTCACGTAATAATGTATTCCAATTAATACAAGAACAAAATGGATGTGTACGAATTTCATATGCACCACCTAATGTACCTAAACGTTTTGATGGATCATGTTCAAGTAATTGTTCAATTAAATTTTTAGCTTCAGGACAAAAAAATTGTTCCGATGAATCATAACATGTTGATGATGATAAATCAATTGTTGATTCATCAATTAAATCAGGCCATTCAATTTGTCCATTAATAACATTAACAAATAATTCATCAGGTGTATTACCTGTAAATGGTGGTATACCAACTAAAAATTCATATAATATTATTCCCATACTCCACCAATCAACTGGTTTACCATAACCTTGTCGTAAAATAACTTCAGGTGCTATATATGATGGTGTACCACATATTTGTTTATCATTAAATGCTTTTGTTTCTTTATCAATATGTTTTTCATAAAAATTTGTTGTTAATGACATTAAACCTATTTTTGATAAACCAAAATCAGTTAATTTAATATGACCAACAGCTGTTATTAAAAGATTATCTGGTTTAAGATCACGATGTATAATACCATAAGAATGAAGATATTCAACAGCTAATGTTGTTTCAGCAAAATACATACGTGCGATATCAATATTTAATGGTCCACCAATATTTTTTAATAATGTTGCAACATCACCACCTTCAACATATTCCATAACAAGACATAAATGTTTTTTAGTTTCAAATGTACATATAAGTGCAACAACAAATGGATTATCTGTAAATGTCATTATATCACGTTCAACAAAAGCTTGTTCAACTTGATTACGTAAAATAAGATGTGTTTTAGAAATTTTTTTCACAGCATATCGTTCATGAGTTTGACGATGTTTTACTAGATGTACAGCACCATATGCACCATTAGATATTAATTTAATTATTTCAAAATCATCTTCACATGGAGTTTTTGTTGATAATGATTGTTCAATTAATGGAAATGTTGTATTAGGTGTTATAGTTAAATAATTTGAATCAGTTAAAGATTCATTTTCACTTTCAGATAATCCAATATTTGTTTTATTATCAATTGTATATTGATGTTCATTATCATTAATTTCATTTACCTAAATAATAATAATATGATAGAAAAATATTTCTTTTTCTTTTTCTTTTTTTTAATGAAAATAAGTTTCATATTGAAAATTATAAAAAATGATTAATCATGATTTTTATCTTGTGATTAATAAATTCTCTTGAGATTAACAGGAAAGTTTATTTCATCTTCGATATATGAATAAGTCGCTTCCGATAATGTCAATTTATTATTCCTTTTCCATAGTGACAAAAAAATCACTATCATTCTTCGAATCGCATAGAGTACAAAGAAAATAATATATATGGCCTACAGTCCTTCATCTAATATTCATTTAATACTAGCAAGTACATTCACTAATGTAATCTCCAGATCACTAACTTAGTTTGATTAATTTTTTTAATAATAAGAAACATATTTAATAACAAAAATGTCTTGTATCTTGACTAGGCATGTACTGAGCTCGAATAATGCGGATTCGGTCGGGCTCTAATTCAGTAAAGCTCATTGAAGCTCGGTAAAGGTCAGTCGGGTTCAGTTAGGCTCCGTAAGCTTCGTTCGAGTTCAGTTAGACTTGTTTAGGCTTCGACTGAGTCTGACCATGTCAAAGTCGAGTCGAGCCAGAACCTGAGGGAGTCCAAGCCCGATCGAATCGGACCGAGTCTGAGTCTTAGGCTGACCGAATCTGAGTCTGGACTGAGCCTGAACTGCTCGGTCTAGGCTTGGATTTGATACATGCCTAATCTTAACTATGGATCGAATAAGTGAAAAAATATTCTTTCATACAACGTTCAATATAGATTATATTTCGTTACCTGTAATGCATCAATAACATCAAGTGGATTACGATCAAGATTAAGTTTTGAACAAATATATTTTGGAATATCTTGTTTAATATTTCCATTAATTTTTGCTTGACATTCAACTTCATCTAATGTACGTAAAAAATCTTCGGGATCAAATTCTAAACATTCAAGTAATCGTGCGGATCTAGCAATTGTTAATAAAAGACTTCGAACAACTGTTTGTAAATTTTCAATAGCTTGTGGACATTTTTCTTTAGCATTTAATAATAATCTTTCAAGATTATTTGTCATTTCATCAAAATATAATGTTGTTATTAAATCATCATGAGATTTTTCTAAACAATCTTTAGCTAATTCAACTATTTGATTATGTATAAATCTTGCTGAACCATCAGAACAATAATCATATTTATCAACTAGTTTATATGTATCAATAAAATTTTGTAAACGTTCTTCCATTTGTACTTTAGCTTTTGGATAACGTTCTTTATAAATATATGCCATTGTATTCATATCTTGATCAGGCATAATCATCATTTTACACGGTGATGATGATATATTTGCATCAAGCATTGACATTGATAATGAACGTGATTCTAAACGTTGTAAACTTCCATATATAAAATCATCATGTGGACTAACATTTGTTAAACTTCCTTCATTTGAATTTGGTAAATTTGTTTGTTGTTTACATGTACATATATGTTGTGATTGTGTTTGTTGTTGTTGTTGTTGTTGTTGTTGATGATGTTGAAGACGTTCAAATGATGAATATTGAGAACTTTCATGTGAATGACATGTTATAGGTGTCGTTGTACCATAACCACTTGATGATGGTGCTGATGTTAATGACCATCGACGATTTGAATTATCATCAATATTATTTATTGGTTTAAATGCACTTGTTGATGATGGATTAAATGTATTTGGTGTTTTATTTGTATCTTGTATTTCTGATGATGTTGTACATAATGTTTGTTGTTGTTGTTGTTGTGGTGATAATTGTTTTCTTAAAGCATATTTTAAATTAATTAAATTTAAACCGGATAAATTTGAACGACGTGAACTTGGTCGACGTAATGGAAATGGATAAAAATGTTGTTGTTGCGGTTGTAATGGTGTTGATGGAAGATTTGTTAAATTATTATTATTATTGTTATTATTATTATTATTATTATTATTATTATGAGAATTATTATTATCATTTGCTGTTGCTGATGATGTACGTGGTGATGATTTAAGTGATGGTGATGTTTGATAGAAATAATTCATTTGTAATGAATTTAAATTTGGTTCTGATTGTCCTAAACGAAGACGGCGTAAACGTATTAAATTCGTTGGTTGTTGATTGTTTGAATAAATATCTGGTGTTTGTGAATTATTTATTGATATTGACATATTATTTGGACAATTTGATGATGTTGATAATAATTGTGCTTGTGATACCATCCAACTACGACGACGAAGACGTTCTTCAGCAAATTTTTTTGAATTTTGTTCACGATAACGAACTATATGTTGACCAGAACCAGTTGATGAACGTTTACGTGCTAATGTATTTTGCAGTTGTTGTTGTTGTGGTTGCGGTTGGTGAAGTGTTGTCACCGGTTCATTAGATTCACATTCATTTACACTTAATAAATGAGAATCGGAATTTTCATTTGATATTGATGGTAACAATGATGAAGTAAAAGTTGAATCTACGTCTATAAAAAAACAAAAGAACATAAATAAATGGCAAATGTTCGTTCGTAGATTCATATATGCAGATAGAATCACGTAGGAACATATCATCTGAATGAAATTTCGTCTATTCTCTCCTTTATAAAAAGTACACTGTTCTTTCTACACTCATTGTATACTAATGTTTCTTTTCTCCGTATATGTAGATAGTAAATGTAAGATATCTTAGTAGAAATTTTTAATAAGTGCGTTGGATTTGTAAGCAAAAATTTGAAGTCACTATTAGCTGTTTCTTGTTTTTGTTTATATTTATTATGAAAGTAATTTGATGAAATATATTTGATCAATAGATGTGTTCTATTTTGATGTTTTTATATAAAATATTTGTACCTAACACCATTTATTGTTTTATTTTCTTTTTCTTTTATTAAGAAATTTTTACCTGAAACAACAACAAATAATTTTTTTGATTTTTCTTCATTTTCATCTTGTTTTAATTGATTATTATTTGTTATTTCTGATGATACTGAATCATTTAATGTTGAATTAATTAATAAATCTGCTGGATTTATTTCTGTTTGAGTTGTTGTAAAAGTTTGAGAATGACTAGATGTTGTTTGTGCTTTATTTTTTTTTGTTGTTGTTGTTGTAGATATTATTTGTGTTTCATCATCTTTATTAAATGGTAACGGTGACACAACAAGTGACGATGATCCTGTCAATGTTGATGCTGTTGTTGACAAGGTTGGATGTTGATGTGTCTTATGTTTCGACTTCTGACTGAAGAATTTTCTCATCGTTGACTGATAGTTAGGACAAAAAAAATATAAGAATGATTATTCGATGTCAACAAGAGAACAACAAAAATAAGCAACAATTACGACATAAACAGGTTATGAATATTAACGACAGAATGCTATTTGTTCTGAATCATAGTTTGTTTTTTTTTTCAGTGAATATGATGCAAACTATAAATGACAGGTAAAAATGGATGGAGTGTTCTCCAATAATATTCGATATTGCTTGACTAGATGAGCCGTCAGTTTTTGTCGCATTCTATAATAAAACAAAAAAAAAAAAAGAAAAATCTAAATATACCAACTACAATAACAATAGTTAACTATGAGAGATTCAATGCGACAAAGAGAGAAAGACATGATAGATAAAAAAAAAAGTGAGTGTAATGGTAAACAATGAGAAGATTGCTAATCGTCATGTTGTTGACATCACCTGCACATATTCATTCTGATACGACATAAAAAAAATAAAACACTGAAAAACACAACAATCATTATGTCGAAACGAATAGTAATGATGAACACAGCGTCAAGTGTAATGATGCTATATGTGTGTACGTGGTAAAAGAAAATTCTCTTTTCTTACTTGCTTGTTCGTTCGTTCGCATTTACTTTTCAAGTGGTGGTTGTTCTCTCTCTCTCTCTCTCTCTCTCTCTTTCTTTTTCTCCTTCTTCTTCATCGATTCTTCTCTCATTATATACAATAAGAAAAAATCAGCTGTCGCAATTGTGACTAACAATAAATATGTATTAGCGGGAGAGAGAGAGAGGAAGATCTAATAGTAAATGGAATGAATCTCGCATTTGCCTTATTTGTCTGAATGTTATAATTCAAGCACATAGGTCATTCTGATGATCAATCGACAAAGTGAAAAAACATCAAGATTCTTTTGATCTCTCTCTTTCTCTGGCTCTATGAGTGTAGCTTAACCCTTGTTATCATCAAATATCGCGATTGGCCTATAATGTTACAACGTACGAAAAAAAAAAAAGAAAGATCGACAAGATATATATGATGAAAACACCATGGCATAAAGGAAATACTAGGCGGTTACAGACAAGAAAGAAGAAAAAAGAAAAAAACGAATGAATAAGCAAACTACTTGACTTCACAAATAATGATATTGCACATGCTTTAAGGGAATGAGGACCTTGAAAATAAAAATGGAATAAGCAAGTATTCAAAATAGTTACTTTTACAATTGAGAAATTTTTAGTTGAACGATAAAGAACATGCAAGGTCAAGTAACTAACAATTCAATTGAAAAGAATACTGAAAGAAGTATATACATCTGAATGAAGTAACTCAATCATATGGCTTAGATTGAATTGAATTTCTTTTGATCGAATAACTATCAGAAGGACAACCTCCTAACATAGAAGCATATTTTATTATTTAACATATCAAAATGATAATTATAAAAATTGATCGAAATGATTATTCATTTTTCTTTTGGTTTCACAAAGATGAAAATGTGTGATTTTTGTTTTCCTTTTTTTTGAAAAAAAAACCGATACCATAAATGATTTTATTTATTCTAGTAATCAAATTTACCTATGAACTTTTTCTATTACAATTTAATCCTTGAGAAAAATACATATTATATTAGAGGAACTATACATAATCGATCGAAACATTTTTTTTTTTTCATTTATTCAAAAGATTATTGTGAATAAGAAAACTTATTTAAGAGAGATTAAAAGAACTCATTCTTGTATCATATTATTTCTTGATATTTTTTGATTGTAAAGGATTAGAATGATAGTATACAAAAGAAAATAGATTTATACATCTTTTGGTTTTTTTTTTTTACTTTCCCATAAGTAATGTTTTAAGGTGGAATGTCTAAATTACCTTTGATGCATCAATTACTGATCATACGGGTCAAATGTGCTAATCCAATCGAAAGAACGAAGTAGATTATAGACTACCGTCTCTTTTTTATAACCTTCATTCATCACTGGAGCCCATGATGATTTATATATTACTTTTTTTTTTTTATATTTCCATGTGTGCCGGCATATGATTTGCGTTCTTGTCATATCGATAATAATCATAAACTATGCATAAAATCTATATCCAGACTATTTCTAGTTACGAATCTATTTGAACTGCTTAATATAATTGATCAAAATCAATTTACATTTTTTTTCCCTATATTATGCCTAGTCACACATTAACGGATATGTACATATATTTATCTCTTTTTTTTTTTCATACTAACTAAAGATACTGTCACGGATAAGCGAATTAAATGTATGAATGCATAAATCACATCATTCAAAAAATGAAACGACGACGAAGAAGAAAACGGTGTTCGATATCGAACGTCAATCTAAAACAAGGTCATTGGCGTTGTGCTTATTTTTGTTTACTGTTAACGTTATTAAGCTTATGGCATTAGACATTAACTATTTTCTTTCTTCTTTTTTTTTTAGTAATATATACATTGAATATAATTATGGATTCATTATTTATATTTCTGATGAAATTCTTTTATATTTCTAAGGTTTTATCAAAAGACCAATTGAATGACTATTGACATTTTCTTTTTCTTATGTTAATTGTCTTATCAAAAAAAGAAAATATTAACAGGAAAAAAATTAATCGATTTTCTCTTGTTATTTTAATGTTATATATCGGAAGATGGATAAGAGAAAAACACAGACACACACATACAGACATTGATCAACTGACACATATACGCAGATACATACGCGAGAGTAAATGATGTTGACAGTTTTTTTTCTAGCTTCATGCATCTTTCATCTCATCATTTTTTTTTGTCGCTCGAATATTACCCATGAAGAACGAACATAGTTACTTTTTATAATTGATGCGTATATAATTTGTTGTTTAGTTTATTTTTAGTTTGTTTATTGATTTCAACTAATGGCCTATTCCCTATTTAGCATATTTCTCATATACGCACATATCATATGAAAGTTTTTTAAGCACATCAAAATTGTCTATCATTAACAAGGCAAAGAAAAAAAAAAAGAAAAAAGCTAATATTATTTTCTATTTGCTCTGCAAATGACTTTATATAATCGAAAACAATCTTTATATAAATATATTGATGAGTTTGTTTGATTGGAAAGAAAGAAAAAAAATATATATATATCATAATACTTACTTTTACAACATTAAACTGAAAAAAAGTCAATCGAACAGTTTTTACAATTCATATCTAAAAAAAATATATATATAAAACTAAAGACATAATTAAAAAAAAAGTATTTATATACAATATTCGACGATATTTATTTGCTGAGATAGAAAAGAAAGAAAACTAGAGAATTATTATTATCATTATTACTAGTTCTATATGATGTTATATGATGCCGATGACTCATCAAAATTTGTTTCTAATAAAGGACAAATGTCAATATACGGTATTAAACTTACATTTATATTTACCAATGAAAATATTGGATGAATAATATTTTTAATTAGATATTATTATGATATATATATTTGTCATCATTAAAAAAAATAAATAAATAAGACGATTGATGGCGCTGTTTTTCATGTATAGATTTTTAAAATATTTTCTATTATTTCAAAAAAGAATTAGTTTAAATTTACATAAAAAATAATTTTTATTTAAATAATAAATATAAAATGGATTATGTAAATTATAATTATTATTGTTGATTATGTGTCACTACAATCAACAGAATTATTATTATGAGCCTTTCTTTTATAATAATTTAATGTAATATTGAATAAATATTTCTTTTCATTATTGAAATATATATTTTTTAAAAAATTAATAAAAAAAAAAAAAAGAAGTTCATCTTTATTAATAAGAATATTAGTAGTGACTGAATACTAGTGACACATCTTGACGTACTACAGCTAAAAACGTATAAAGAATCAAGCCTATTAATACTGTTGTATCATTAAAATCATTAGCCTTTCATTTTAAACTGATTATAATGTAAACTAAGCTTATGTTAAAAGTTTACAATCCAAATTTCATTTTATGTTGACAGTAGCATGTGAAAAAAAACGAGAATAATTAGTGTTGATTGAAATGAGTGCAGATTGATTTAAATAAATGACTGTGATGATTATCTACATAAAAATATATTACCTTACTTTTTAATATTGAGAAGAAACATAATATAACGATATGTTTCAAAAGTTGAAATGACATAAAAAAAATGGATAATGAAATCAAATAAATCTAATCAAATATAGTTGTTAATCTAATATCAAAATGTATTTGAAACCCAAATCCAATTTAGAAAATTTGTGCTGTTCAAAATCAAATATAATTCTTAAGTTTAGTTCACTAACTATCTCATACAAAAATCTTGCATTGACTAATAACTAAGCTCAATAGAAATTGAAACACATACCTTTGTGACATTGAAGAAGAAAAAAAATAAAGTTGAAATAAATTTCTCTTGATAACATTATAATGTAATCTTTGTTCAGATAATATTCAAACGATTAAGATTATATTCTCTTTTCACTTTTCAAAAACTTTAATTAATATCGAATGAATGTAAGACGAAAAAAGTTATATTGATAATATGAAATAGTAGCTCAGAGCAAGGATAGAAAGTCATTAAATTTTACAATTTAGAAAAGAACTTTTGATTGATGCATCATTAAACTAAATATGACAACACTTGATATAACATGTCGTCTTTGACAACATTTTTTTTTTTACAGGACTATAAAAAATTTCTCATCTATGAAGTGGTAATAAGTTCATAATGACCGCTTAATGTACGTCAATAATCATTAAAAGTGACATATACAGTCCTTGCGACCTTACAGAAAAAAGCCCATTTCCTAACGATCTTATCATTGTTGCTTTTCGATCAAGAGGATATTGTGTATGATATTTTGAATATCTATGTATTTATTTAGATAAAAAAACTAGTGATGTAACCAGGTGGATGCTAAAAGAAGCTCAGTTCTCCTCTAGAAACTGTCAAAATCTGCTTAAAAAGAGGCTTGAACCTTCTCTAGAAGATTCATCAAAGAATTACCACTCTCTCTACAGGTACGTTCAGAGACTGAGTCTTTCACTGCAATCTTTTCTTCTGGCTATGCTATTAGAAAAAATACATTCATTTTCTAAGACTAAAGAATAGCAAATAAAATTTATGATTTCTTTAGCCAAATTTATAGAGTTTCTTTTTTTATTATTTTATTGCATAGTTATAAAATTGTAGAAGCTTTTCGTACAAAATAATTACTTATTAAAAAGATAAAATCTTTTTTACACGTTTAAAAGTGCTAATAGATTTTGTTTTTGATATTGAAGCTTTCGATCAGTAGATAAAAGTGAAGGTCTTTCGAATGATTTGTTCGTATGATAATTGGCCGATAACGAAGAAGACGAAACCTGTGATAAGAATTTTTGTCTATCTGTCAAAGACATAGTTCGATATTGCCGCTGTCGTAGTTGTTCTAAGAAAAAGATTAGAATAAATGAATCGATTAAAAACCAAAATTCTTTTTTTTTTCAACTATACTTTTCTTTTTTTCTATTGTTACTGTTTTATCATCAAGCATTTTCATGCATCTACAAATCAAGGAAAATATAACCAAAAGAAAAAATAGAATAACTGTAATTAGACCAATATAAACAAGAATCGAATGCATTTCATTGTTATTATCATTAAAATCTTTGAAAAGAAAATATGATTATTTTTGAATATTATGAAAAAAGTAAAAAAGTGTTTCTGAATCAAAAATTTCGAAGAGATGATTTTAAAAAAAATCATGCTACCAATGACTTACGTCTATTTTCTTTATATGACGATAAAAATTGTTCAAATACATTTGTAGGCACTGTTGTTACAATCATTTTGTCATATATAATCAGATAAATTTATGCATACGTCTACTTTGTAACGTCCGTTAAAGAAAGAACCATAAAGATATAATCTATACTATTCTTTTACCTACATAAGTGATTGCATATCATGAATAAAAACACGGTAGTAAAACATGAAAATAGAAATCATACCTTCAAATAGAATATTTTCATGTTATATAAATATATAAATTCTTCTAAAATGTAAACATTAAAGATAAACCAATCGATTGATCTTTAATTTCATCATCGAACATGAAATCAAAAATCTATTTCGTTTTTTTTTTCTTTTTATGATAAAATGATTTGATAAGATTAATAGTAAATTCCGATTATATTACATATTTATTAAACTTTAATAGAGAATTAAAACGAAAATATAATTACGACAAATAAAAAGAACAAAAAAACAACATTCTCACAATTTTATTGGTGCATTGTGTTAGAACGAATACATTTTCCAGTGTCACTAGATCCATAAGTCCTTTTTCTTGATAAATGAGTACTTTGACGATTAAGCGTTGTTAGAGCATTTTTACCATTAAATAAAACTTCAACACTTTGTCGTATTTTTGATGGAGGCGTTTTTGGTGAGGAACGTCCTGGATTTATATTATGACCTATACTTCCTACTACGTCAGTATTTAAACCAGATGTTCTATATGTTGAACATCTTTCTTTTCTTTTCTTCATTAAACGCAAATCAACAAGTAATTGATTAAATTCATTTATAAATATACTTCGAAATTTTTTTCCAGCTAAACAATATAAGAAAAAATTAACTACATGCGGTAAATCCGACAATATATCCTGTGTAACGCTTGAATAAAATCCAAATTTATATAATTGTATATCACGATCGCTAACATCTATACATAAACGTCCAAATAATAATTGTCTTGTATCATAAATTTTAACAAAAACAAAAAACATCGTATTGGGAATATTAAATATAATTAATGATAATGTTACAGCTAAAAGCATACGTGTAACTTGGGCATTTATACGTCGTTTTGTTGCTAATATTGTATCGGCTCCTGTATTTGTTGAAGCACCGGAACAACGTTGACGAAATGAAGTGCTTGATAAAGTTCTTTTGGAAAAACTTGTATTAGATTCACGTTTGCTAAAATCCTCAGATACTCGCCAATCATATGAAGTACGATGTAATACAACTGCAATAACAATATTAGCAGCTGTAATAAGACCTAAAAATGAATGAGATCATTACATTAATGTTTTAGAAATAAAGACTTGTCGTGAATGATTATAACTTCTCAATTGTGTTGCACAACAAAATGACTTAATCAACTTATCTGTCTAACTTTTGGTAATATTTCATTTGTTGAATAATTCATCTGTCATAGAATATGACTTCGATGTTTTCTTGCATATCTAATCAATTGTAATGTCTAATAACTATTCCAGAAGAAGATAAAGCATAAATTAGAAAATTGTATTCGACTATTGATTAGCAAAAAGAAAAAGAAAAAGATAATGTTCATCTATCTTTTCACAAAAAAAAAACGTAGAAAACATATTTCTTTAATAATTAATGAAATAAACATGATATGAACATGTACTTCATTAATAAATGAAATTTTATTTAGTAAACAATTTTGAAGAGTTTTAATAAAATTAAATGTGAAATCAATCATAGCAATTTAATGAATTATGCTTATAATTGTAGGTTGTTTGTATGATACGCTGATGAAGTATCTATGAAGTGTATGTGGGAATATCAGTGCTTTTTTATATGACATCTGTCAATCTTCCATGACAATGATTTATAGTTATTTTCATACTATCCCTAAGAGACAATAGTCGTTTTGGTTTAGTTGATTTCTCTAATAAAAGATAACTTCTTTTCAGTTTATAAAATATGATGCTGATTATTAAAATAAAAACAAAAACGACTTATTTAAATAGATCTTTATTAAAAAAAAAATAGAAAATTTTCAATGAAACTAATTTTATGGAATAATATTTATTTAATCTTTAGTTTAATAAACAATTCCAATCATGATAATAAGTACTATTGAATAAGTACGATGAATATTCTGTTTATTGTACTAATTAATTTCTCACTTAAAAATCATTAACTTATTCGTCTAATAAATATTGTATAATTATAGAAAATATTTTAGAATATGGTACTTGTGCTAATATTAATGTCAACAAAAAAATAATGAAAAATTCTCTTTCGAAAAGCAGATGTCTTTTGTCATACTATTTCTGATAATAAGAAAATAAAAGAACTTTACAAAAATAGAAAATACTCTCTAGTAGGAGATCCATTAAACTAATCTCATAGACTTTTCTCATCAAATTTTTATAATTGATACTGTTCAGAGTTGCAAATAATAAAGTTCAATTATCTAGTTTCATCAAATAATGCTCATATCATTATATTCAAAATTGCACTTCCATTTACATTATAATATGAAATTATTTCTATTGTTTGTTCGATTCTAACTGGCGAGAGATGTAGTAATTTTTGTCTAGCTAAGAAACTACAATCTATATATACGATGATTGCGTCTAATAATATCTTTTGGATGAGTTCACTGATCAGGAAAAATACTCCTATTTTTCCGACTATGTTATTGAAGCTATCTAAAAAAAAATAAAAGAAATTATGTTCTGTAATGTTGATGATTTAATTAGAAACAGCTACAGAGATGATTTATATAGCGTTTTTTTACCATCCTATACGTTGTATTTTCAAACGTAATATGCTGATGAAATCAACAGAGATATAACAGATAAATATACTTACCCATAGGCAAAATTGAAGCAGTAAGCAGATCGACGATAAAAGAAATATCACTTAATCCACAATATTTACGATGATTTCTCGCTAGGTGTATATCAGATAAGTTAATGAACGATAAATTAGCAAGGAAGAGTATAACAATAGCAAGACAACAAATATGAAATGCTCGTTTATGTGTTAGCCATATGCTTGATTTAAGTGGATAACTAACAGCAATAGCTTTATCTCTATAAAATAAACATTTTATGTTATGTACTTGATTTATTTTCTTTGTACAACAAAAAGAAAAAGCTTACAAACTCATTAAAACAATTGTCCACATAGTAATTGAAATACATGCATTCATTGATACATATAATGCTTTACAAACTGCTGGAATTAATAAAAATATTTCATGACCTTTTTCGATTGATTGATAATTTATTTCTGCTCGAATATATTTAAGTGAAATTGATAATATATCAAAAAGTGCAAGAACACGTAAAAATATAATAGTAGTTGATTTATTTGATAATCTTGGTCGAGAAAGTATAAATAAACAAAGTGAATTAAGTAATATACCTGGTCCAATAAGTAAACGTAAATATGTTGCATTAAGTAATTTAAAAAATAAATAAGTGGATGTATAAACACGATCTTGTAATGAACAAGCAACTATTGGGAATAATGATTCGTTATTTGTGGAATTCATTGATCTAAATGAAAATATTTATTAATCAATTCGAAAATAAGAATTTTAATAACGATAGAAGAAAAGTGTAAAACATATATGACATGTTTTCTTTTCTTTTCTTTATGATCCTACTTTTTGCGTTAAATGTTCTTTTTTTTTCTATCATAACATTTAAGACAAATGTAAATATATACATGAAATATTTGTATAAGCAAAAATAAAAACCAATAGACTTAAGAAAGTAGTTTGATTATAATTATTAGTATTGTTTTTTGTTTTTATTTAATATACAGAATATGTATTTTGCTTTACACATCTCATATTGGACATGTCATTGTTGAAGCTATTAATATCCTTACTTGACTCTAAATACGAGTATAGACAAAAAAAAAAGAAATATTCTTTGTCGATATACATGTCAGTAACTCGCTTTTGGCTGTTCTTTCTAATGAATCGTATTATCAACCTACTGTCTCTGTCAGCAAAATCTTTCTTACGACAGTGGCTATGTAAAACTCTTAGTATTTGTCCATGAAGATCATTATCATTATCAACTACCGTACGATAATCATTCAATGTTTTAATTTTCTTCTCTAATTATTCTAATCTAAATTAAATATTACAAAATTCATTATGTGAATAATAGTTTTGTATGATAACCTAACCTATATTCCTAATTATATTCTTATATTTACTATATTGTATCCAAGCATAAAATATTACTCGTAAATTTCTTTGAATATCTAATTGGTGTTATCTCTTTTTTTTTTATTGATAGTTATTTTTCTATATATAAATATTTATAAAAATAGTACTCACATGAAGATCTGAACAGGTCAATACTAGTGTAATCAAGCAAAAAAATATCTTAAGACATTTTCATATATATTTTTTTTCTCTCTCTCTTCTTTTTTCTTTTGTATATTCTTCGACCATGATAATCATATAGAATCATAGAAATACATCTTTCATGAAAAATAAGTAGTACATTATATTATCATATAAATAGCTGCATCTACTCATTGGTTTAGCTCAATATGAATGGTGAAGAATGAGTAGTAATTCTCATAATAATAATAATAGAAGAAAAAAAAAACAGATTCTTTTTTTGTCTTTTGTCTCTGTCTTCGATGAATGAAGAAACCATATGGAACTATGTTCGCATAGGGACAATAAATAATGAAAAAGAATAGAAATATTTTTATTTTTTTTATTTTATATATATATTAATTATTTTAACATTCATTTTTTCAACAATAATAATAATAATAGGAATAATCTATGTCATTTAATGTCAAACATAAAACTTATTATCTTTTTCAATCATAATTTTGATCTTCTTAATGGCATGAACAGAAACTCACATGATAATAACTTTATCTTATAAATAGCTATGCTTTCTCATTGAAAACTCATTGTAATTCAACAGAGAAAATCAAATATCGATCTTATTAAATTAAATATTAAGATATACTCAATCGTTTTAATGAAAAAATTCCAATGTAATAACTTTTATTTTCATATTTTACACAAAACAAAATTCATGAATTTATAATCTACATTTATATAGTAGTAATATAATTTGCGCTATCTTTTTTCGATCAACTTAAAAATTCAATAAACCAATTAATTTAATCTATTTCGATGTGTAGAATACAATATGAACTAGTATTGTTAACATTCAATTATTTAAAATAAACGATATAAAATAGGAAAAAGGAAGTAGCATAGTTCTTGATATAAAACTAATCAATCGTAATCGGTTCAAGAAGTACATTTATTAATACGTACAAAATTATATGAAGACTACATCTATTTTATCTTGTTGACAGATTTTTTCCAATAAGTTTTGTTTAACAGACAATTATTTCATAAGAACGAAATTTTACTTTCATGTATATGTTGTCTCATGATCTCATTGTTCAAAATTAGTCATATAACAACTGGATGGAAACAACATTTCTATAGTAAACATGAAATCAATTATTATGCAAATGATTTGCGTATTTGTTTTTTTGTCTCAAGGAAAAAATAATTTTCAATAAAAAGTTATTGCTCTCTTTTGTCTTATATCATCAAATGCAATTGTTCTCTGAAAGTTAAGAAAACAAAAGAAAAAATAATACCTGAATATAGATATGTTATTTGTTTGATGAATAGTAAAAGATCGATTAATGTGTTCGACGTTTTCCATAACTTCAAGATTTGGATATAGTGCAATGATTCGAAAACTTTACAATATATATATAATCAGTAGAACCTCTAGAATAGAAAGAGAAAGTTTAATCAACTAGAAAACAAGAACAATAAGAAACTAATAGATAAGAGACTGAATCGGTTCAAGGAACTTCGATCTATTAAAGTAGTTGGTCAATAATAAACAGAAAAAAGTAATTTGTGTATTAACTATAAAATACTCTAGTGGTGAAATTTGATTTATATCACGATTAGTAAACATATAGAATAATTTACCTACCTATCTTATGTTCTCAAATTGCAAATGTCTGAGGTTTTAATTGCTAAAATAGTTTGAAATTCGAGTACAATTAAATTTTGTCGATAAGAGTCAAATAAAAATAGCAACGTCTGATGAATACTCGATATCTTTGACAAATAAATGACGTAGAACATCGGTAAAAAATATAAAATAATTAAAGAACTAACATTTTCCCTACTAGAATTACATTAGTCGTTGTTATACATATTGCTAAATTATAAACAACGTGTATGAAAACGTTTAACAGTCATCCTACATCTGTTGAAGGAAATTTATTCTTTTATAATAATAAATCATAATTATATACTATAACCCCCTAGTTCTCCATAAATAATTATATATGTTTTTTATGTAGTCCAGATTTCATTCAATGTCATTGTCGTCTGCATCTCATGTCTTGTCTTTTGTAGCTTCATTCTTTTATTAATTGCAACTGTGAGAAATCATCATTCATATTCTATGTTTCTCTCATTCGACTGATATAAATGTGAATATTATCATTTCACATAATATTGATTGATTAAACAACACGAGTCGTATTGCGAAACTAGTTACAATAGTATCTATATTGATAAATTCTTCTAATTTATTTATTACCAATAGTATTTTTATGGTTTTGACGAAGCCATCAACAACTTCATGATTAATAATGCATTACTTACGATAGCCATCACTCTAACTAATACTCTCTGTTTGAGTTCTTATTTTGCTCATAAGTAATATTGATGATCGAAGATAGAAGCTTTCGTACCCTTAGGTC